CTCTAGCATCATTGATGCAGGAGTGATTGATTATTGATAACAATCTCAAAGCCTATTTAATACCTGTACCAATGCTGTTTATAAGTTGGTGGGATGAACTGAATGTTTAAAAGATCTAAGACAGAATATAGATTATATACCTCAATGGTCATCTCTCCCATGTCAGGAAACATTTCAGTGAGAATGTCGTTCATCAGATTATTATACAATATATGTACTTGTAAATATATTATGTAAAATTAAAAATAAGCTGCTAGTTTCTCAGTAGGTGGTCTTGTTTCCAATGATATTCTATTTCCTCATATTGCCATATTGTAAAATCCTTATATTTTTCATGTTTTCTATCACACTTTTCTACTGAAAGCTATATATCTAGGCATAATGTTATTTAAGCAAATTTTTTAATTATCTCAGAACATACTGTGGTGTTTATCCCTTATATATATAATTACAAGGCTAATGTGGGCTTATTATTACTCTGTCGCTTGTAGTGATATTACTCTAACACTGGCAAGGCTGATGTGTTATCACTGCTGTTTGCTCAGTGAACATGCTGCTTTTTAGATCTCGATGGCTGAAAGGAAGGGCAAAGGACACCCTGCCATTTTTGGTAATGTATTCCAACAGCAACAGAAATTCAAACTCTGTAAGAAGTATATATATACAAAGATTACATTTTTAAACAAAAGTTAAAGACATATAAACAATTACAAATTCAACTTAATGGGAATTCCTCTTGATTTCATAACTTTCTTCTTGTTCTGAAATTTTATTATACAATTACATATCTTCTCTTTTTGTATTCCACTTGCTACCAATCACAGATTCACTTTTTCCTGACTTTTCTTATTCTTCTAATAAACGTTAGTGAAGCAGCTTCTGTGTCACAGTGTGACATAGTAAAAATAACACGATCCTAGGAGTTAGACCTAAATTTGAATCATGGCCCTACCACTTGCCAGCATTCTGACCATTGTCATCTGTAAAACTGGAAATAATAATAATTCTTTTCAGGGTTATTTTGAGAATTTGATGAAATAATATGAAAAGATTATAGCACTTAGGTTACTCATGCATTGATAAATTCATTATTAGCTTACTAATTATGTTGTAGCTGCCCCTGTGACAGTACTTATCACATGTCAGGTGTCCTGCTTGACCTGAGTGGAGTGGGAAGAAAATCCCAGTTGTTTTATTTAATTCTCCATTTGCATCTAAATGTAGAGCAGAATTTATTTTTTAAAAACATTTTTAATTAGCATTCTCTCTATAACAATTCAGAAATATTTCTTATGGTCAATATCTAGAACTTGTTTCAGTGATGTGAAAACTTTTTTGAGAGGCTATTTATCACATATATTTAAACAGATCTATTTCTATGATGATCACTTTTAGGAAAATGTCTTAACAGTCACATGTTTTCATATGCAGAAACCCACTTACTACTCCATACTTTATTGTGAACATGTTCTGCCCAAAGCTGCAGTATTGGCCTGGACACAAGGATCTTCACTGTGTTGTCTACACTAAGGACTCAGCTTGATGTCAGGGCATAGGCTTATTTGTGGCAGGCCGTAGGCTGAAGTATATGGGCAAGTGGTTGTGGCTTCATGAAACTGCTGTTCAGATGAGCAATGAATATCTGTAGCAGAGGCTAGAACTGGATGCTCTGTGTTTGAATCTCAAGGAACTTAATTCTTTGATCTTTAGTTCCACATTTATAAAATGTGCAAAATAAAAATATTAATCATCTCAGGAATTGCTTTGAACAGTAATTATGGTCAAAACATGTTAGTTATTATTATGATTGATTATTATTGGTAATGTTATGGATAACTTATCATTGATAATGTTATGGATAATTTAATATCATTGATAATGATAATTTAGTATTACTTCTACCCTTACACCTTCCCACTCTTAAGCTAGTTCATTCACACACACACACACACACACACACACACACACACACACACACACACCATTTTCTTATCACTGTTAAGAAAGGTGTTTCAGTTAGACCTGTTTGACAGATTCAAATACTAATAGCACTTACTTATTGTTTAACATTGATAGATCATGGCTCAGAGACATTATCTCACTTTGATCCTTATTACAACTCTGAAAGAAAAAGAGGATGTTTCTTATTTCTACTTGAGAAAAAGGAAAATTTAAGCTTTTGGAATTTAAGTAACATGCTCACCAGTCACACAGCTAAGAATTAAGAGCAGAGGGAGGAGGGAGAGAGGTTTTGGTAAGGGGCAACATTAATCAACCACAATGTATATTGACAAAATAAAATTTAAAAGAAAAAGAATTAAGAGCAGAGATTAGCACTCACAACTTTGCAAGGAAAATATTAAATCACGATTCCTTCCTCCCTGGTATATATCAGGACTCAAGTAGTGAACTAAGGGCAGAAAAATTATCTTCTCATAAGTCTCCATAGTACTTCCAGGACTTCGTCATAAGCTAAATTGTAAAATACCAAATGGACCATTACTACACACTTGCAATATTAAGATGTTGAATCCTTTGAAGGCCATCTTTATAGTTTAGTCTGTTGTTATTATGTTGTTTCATCGATGATGTAATCATTGTTGTTTTAATAAAATCTATGATGCCACACCAGAAGTAAAAACTTTTACAGAAATTTAAACAGCAGAAGTGGCAAGATTTTGACAGAAGCAGGGGGTTTTCTTCAAGGGAAGATAAACGTTCCTACATAACCTGTGCATCATGCTGAGAGCAAGGACTGCCAGCCTTTAAATACTAGTGCTTGCTTCTAAGTGGGATGTTTTCCATTTGTACATACAGCATTAATAAAATCAAGCAAATATAACTAAAAATTCAGGGAATACAATAGCAACTAAGTATGTTAATATTACATAAATTTACTGTGTTCGACCTAAGTAAGAATGTCAAGTTCCCTCAAACAGATATGTCTTAATTATCAACCTCCAGTTGAAATTTATCATTATGCCACTGGTTAAGAATTTTATCTATTATGGATAAAGTATAATTCTCCAAAGGGAAGGCAAACAGGAAAGAGTAATTGAAAGGTAAGGACGTTGGTTTAGTTACAGTTTACTCACTAGCCTGGTGATTAAGGGTAAGTTTCTTACCCTCTTCCACAACCTCAACTGTCTCCATGTAAAGGGGGTGATATAAACCTGTTTCATATACTTTATATAGTTGTTAATATTAAGTGAGATTCTATGTATTTGAGAGATCTAAGATTGCATTTTACTTTAGTTATTTTTTATTAAAAAAATTATGCATGCCCATCGTAAACAAGAAGGAGGAACAGGAGAAAGAGGAAAAACAAATAAACAAATAATTAATATGAAAGGAGGTACAGTGAGAATTACAAAGTTCTGTTAATGTAAATTTCTACTTATTACTATTATCACCAATTATGACAAGAACCAGATGACTGTGGACAAATTTCTTATTCACTCTTAGACAGTTTCTTAATCCATAAAATAATGAATCGAACTAGTTGATTTCAAATGCCTATTTTTAACAATAAAGTTATAATTATACATTATTTTCCAGAGGAAATAACAAAAAATCTTTTTAAAACTAAAAATAATTGTCTTGTTTTATCTGAATGAACATGAAGAAACAAAGTGACAGACAGAACATTCAATAAATAAATGGCATGTTTCAACCAGAGTTGATTAAAAATAACATTTCATGAAACAGGTATAGCTCAACTCCAAAAAGGTCCACAAATTTATCTAATAAACAAACAAAAGTGCTACTTATGAGCAAGTCAGAATTCTAATCTTATAGTTACCTGAGCTATTACAGAATCATCAGAATAATAACTGAAATAGTGAAATTATTTTGTTCAAATAAATTATATGAATACACAATTGGATGAACGATGGCAAGAAAGTGTTGTTGAGGAGAAGTGCTATTGAAACAATTCCACCAATGGTGAGTTGCATTCCACTAACATCATTCCTTTCATTAAACTCTTCGATGCCTCTCAATGAGCTATGTATATCTCATACGTATCTATGCATATCTATCTATACTTAAATATATACTTTATATCTTTCTATCTATACATATATGTGATATTACATATAATCACTTTGTCATGTAAACATAATTATATTCTATAACAATCTATGTATAGCCTTGATCATATCAACTTCTAACTATATAACTTTCTACAGAAATCCCAGAACACACACACACACACACACCCCACACACACGTATCCCTCTTTTAACAGCTGCATAACATTCCACTGTGAGTGTGCCCATAATATATTTAACCAGGGCTATGTCAGTGAATAGTTTTAATATTCCTAACTTTTTTTTGCTATAACAGTATTTAGTATTACTAAATGAACATTCATGGGTAGACCTCTTTGCACATTTTTATGAGTATGGCTGAAAGACAATTTCCTAGATGTAGCATTTCTGTATTTCTTAATACATTTTAAAATTTTGCAGATATAGATATAAATATTCATTTTATTTTGTTATAGATTAAGATAAATTGCCTTCCATGGAAGTTACCCCAAGAGTCCCTCCAAAAGCATTCAACAGCATTACCTTTAATGCTCTGAATGGAAAAATGTTTTCCATTGTTTAGCTTTGCATTTTTAAATTGTGAGGTTCAGTATGTTTTGATTTATTTTGTTCAATTCATCAGTATTATGCTCAGTTTAATTGATTGATGAAGTAGATAGATGGATAGGAAAATAGACAGGTAAATAGATAGATATTCATATATTGATAAGAAAACATCCAAAATGTTAAAGAATTTCAAATTTATTGCCAGCCAGAAAAGGTATTTGAATCTCAATTTGAAGTCATTGCCTTTTATGTGGGGAATTGAGGAAAGCAGGCACAGTAAGCACTAAGAGGAATGAAGAAAGATTTTTTTGGGGGGGGAATACACTTTAAAAGGAAAAAATATGGTATATTTTAAAACAGTGTTTATATTATACTTGTTAATTTTATTCTATCTCCCTGCAGGTTTAAATGTTCATTTGGCTACTTGGCTACTGATTAGAGAACACAAAATGAATAACTCAACAAACTCCTCTAATAATGGCCTGGCTCTTAGCAGTCCCTATAAGACATTTGAAGTGGTGTTTATTGTCCTTGTGGCTGGATCCCTCAGTTTGGTGACCATTATTGGGAACATCCTAGTCATGGTTTCCATTAAAGTCAACCGCCACCTTCAGACCGTCAACAATTACTTTTTATTCAGCTTGGCCTGTGCTGACCTCATCATAGGTGTTTTCTCCATGAACTTGTATACACTGTACACTGTGATTGGCTACTGGCCCCTGGGGCCTGTGGTGTGTGACCTGTGGCTAGCCCTGGACTACGTGGTCAGCAACGCCTCCGTTATGAATCTGCTCATCATCAGCTTTGACAGGTACTTCTGTGTCACAAAACCTCTGACCTACCCAGTCAAGCGGACCACGAAAATGGCAGGTATGATGATAGCAGCTGCCTGGGTCCTGTCCTTCATCCTCTGGGCTCCAGCCATCCTCTTCTGGCAGTTCATTGTGGGGGTGAGAACTGTGAAGGACGGGGAATGCTACATTCAGTTTTTTTCCAACGCTGCCGTCACCTTTGGCACGGCCATTGCAGCCTTCTATTTGCCAGTGATCATCATGACTGTGCTCTATTGGCACATATCCCGAGCGAGTAAGAGCAGGATAAAGAAGGACAAGAAGGAGCCTGTGGCCAACCAAGATCCAGTGTCTCCAAGTCTGGTCCAAGGAAGGATTGTGAAACCAAACAACAACAACGTGCCCAGCAGCGACGATGGCCTGCAGCACAGCAGAATCCAGAACGGCAAAACCCCCCGAGATGCTGTGACTGAAAACTGTGTCCAGGGGGAGGAGAAAGAAAGCTCCAATGACTCCACCTCCGTCAGTGCTGTCGCCTCTAATATGAGAGATGATGAAATCACCCAGGATGAAAACACGGTTTCCACTTCCCTGGGCCATTCCAAAGATGAGAACTCTAAGCAAACATGCATCAAAATTGTCACCAAGACCCAAAAAGGTGACTTATGTACCCCAGCTAATACCACCGTGGAGCTAGTTGGGTCTTCAGGTCAGAATGGAGATGAAAAACAGAATATCGTGGCCCGCAAGATTGTGAAGATAACTAAGCAGCCTGCAAAGAAGAAACCTCCTCCTTCCCGGGAAAAGAAAGTCACCAGGACAATCTTAGCAATTCTGCTGGCTTTCATCATCACTTGGGCCCCGTACAATGTCATGGTGCTCATTAACACCTTCTGTGCACCCTGCATCCCCAACACAGTGTGGACAATTGGCTACTGGCTCTGTTACATCAACAGCACCATCAACCCTGCCTGCTATGCACTTTGTAATGCCACCTTCAAGAAAACCTTTAAACACCTTCTTATGTGTCATTACAAGAACATAGGCGCGACGAGGTGAAACATCTTTGAAAAGGAGGAAGGTGGTCAAGGGGAACTTGGGAAGAATAAAGGGATAAAAGAGCTCCTAGTTGTAAAATCTCTGCCATTGCACTTTATAGTCTTATTATGGAACGTGCAATTAAGGAGCCCAACAGGGACACGCTTATCCTGCTTATGCTCCAGTTTGAGAAACGTGCACCTTATAAATAAACTCTGTCAGTTTAAGAGCAGTGAGACAATGGAAGAAACATGTTGGAATTGTGGATTTAAAGAATGATCTATGCTTTCTCATACTGTCTTGATGAAGGGCTTCTGAATCTACAATTCTATCGATCTCTGCACAAGAAAAATAACCTCGCTTCTTTTTTGATTCTTTTTTTTTCTTTTTTTTTGTTCTCATGTGTCCATATGAGGATGAAATGCCACAATTACAATCTAACGTGGAGACTTAAACATAAAGAAATAGACACTATACAATCGGGAGGTGAAGAAGAAAGAAAATCAGAAATGGATGTAGAAATGGTCTCCAGAGTGTTAAGCATATTCTATTCTTTTGTTATAGTTTTATTTGGAGTACTGCAATGTAAGAAATGCTTATTTTTCACCTTTCCCTTTTCCCGCCATGAAAAGAAAGCAAACAAACAAAAACCCCAACTAGGTCACGCCATTTTTTTTCCTTGTTAAGGCATTAGTTTTGGTACTTCCCTATTCTAAGTTGTGTGTGGGCAATACCTGCAGGACTTTCACTGAATCTAGCCAGCCACAAAAATGGCCACTTCACCCCTCCCCACTGTGCCCTTTTCACTCTTTGGGGTGTAAAAGCCTATAATGATTTAGTTTATTTATGATCCTTTATATGAAATATTTTAACAAATCTGGTTGTCTACTAAGGTAGCCTTTTATTTTAACAAAATAGCCTACCTAAAATATAAACATATTTGATCAACCCAAGTCATTGTAAAATTAAGGTTTCATCAAATTAAGTAATGGTCAAACTAGTTGGAGGAAGCTTACTAAGGCCAGATGAATTTTGAGATGAGAAAATAAAACCCTGGAAGGGCATTCTGTTTCCACCTGAAACTGCCTGACCTATGTATAAAATCTTAACTTGCAAAACATGAACTCAAACAGCAGGAAGAGGATGCTGGAATCCTAAACAAGATTAACATACTCGCATGGCACCAGTAACTTCTGGGAATGTCCCAAGAGAATAAGACCTTCTATTTCATGCCTGCTAAAGGATGATATTCAAATTACTATGAAGTGAGGTGGTCTATAACCAACCTATAATCCAGAGGAGGAAATAAAAGGTAATTCAAAAATATTTACTGAAAACCCATGTTCCATATCTCAAATTGTCTATTCACCCTAAGATTATTTAAATTCAAAGTTCTTCTATCAATAGAATTATAGTAATCTTTGTGATAGAAATTTAGTGGATAACTAAACACAGGCCAAGTGAGCTCATAGAATCTGACAGAATTCTTCTCACACCTCATTCTAGACCATAAAAAGTCATGTCGGGAATTATTATCTAAATGGTGGCATTATACATGATCTTGTCCATGTAGAAACTTTTTATTTGGTAGTTCAGATAAATATATGATTATATTAATTCACATTTAGCTAGTAGTTATTTTTATCCCTCATATTTTTCTCTTACACTATTTGCTATAGCCTTCCAATCAGATTTTCTAGAAATAGCTCAATCAATAGAAACCAAATTTATAAATGCCTTTCCAGATTTTATATCATGCATTTTAGATTTATGCATTTTCTGATATCTTGTCCAGAAATATTAATGTGAGTTACATGATGAATTTGTCAATATTAGACCCTAGGATTTATTAGAGTTATTTTGTATGGCTTGCCTTATTGATGTCATGTCAATAACCTGGAGAGTTAAAAAAAAAAAAAAGAAAAGCACAAGGGAAACAACAAAAAATGTGTAAGTTAGTAAGAATTAAATTGCCAACAGTATGTGTACTTAACTCATCCTTTATAAAAATAACTTCTTGTTTGAATGACTTCAGCCATTCCCCCCCAAAATCTTCTACGTATAAACTTACAGCATCAGTTTGTATAGATTCCTTTACAATCACTTCAATGTAAACTTTCACATTTTAAATCTATATTTATTTATGTTTATATTATTTCTTCAAGTCAATTAGTCAATTGAGTGGGAAGAACATCAAGCCAATGGGCTCCTTGGTTTCCTGTAAACAAAACAATCGGATGCCAAATATTTCACTTTTTAATTCGTTGTCTTGTTATAATTTAGATTTGGCTTTAATTGGGATGAATCCTTTGGAGTCAAGGATTCAGGATCCAGGGTCTAATAGTCTAGCTCACCGTGAGTCAGACTGTCCCCCACTCTCCACTGCTGCTGTCCCCTTCCTTTCCCTCCTGTTCTTGATCTCCACCACAGCCACCACAACCTTACTGAATGAGAAACTGTCACGATAGCAAAAGGAACTGAAGATAGACTGACACATCATTGAACCTTTGTCAACCAGAACCCCAAAATGGAAGGAATACTGAAAACGGTAGATGATCAGAGAGAGATGGAGACTGTAATCAAGGATTTGTACTAACCATTGCTGAATTCACCTATTTCCGTGGTTCTCAACCAGGGACAATTCCCTCCCTTCAGGAGACATTTAGCAATGTGTAGAGACATAGAGACATTTTTGTTTGTCACAACTGGGAGAAAGGCTATTGGTATCTACTGGGTAGAGGCCACAGATGCACTAAACAGATTGCAATGCACAGGACAGTCCCTTCAATCCCCTCCAAATGAAAATTATTTGGCTCAAAATGTCATTAGTGCCAAAATGGAGAAATTCTTGTCTGTTTTAAGGAATTTATAGAGCTTGCCTCCTACTAGTGGGAAAATAAACCTGTATTATTTTTAGACTACCAATGTAAACTGCTCACATGTTTGAAAAAGGTAATACTTACCAATAATATATCAGAAACACTCACCTGTTGAGTGTGGTTTATTTATAATTCACAGATTGGGAGCATGGGCCACATACATTATATATATCTCTAAAATCGCCAGACCATGCACATAGTGCATTATTTCCAGCATCTTAATGTCAGGTTATGATTGCCGTAGAGTCTAATCAAATGAGGTTGAAGTAGTTGGCCATCAAAATGGTTGCAGTTGATATGGTCAGTTTCTGTTGGAGTTGCCATTTTTCCTTTCAAAAACATAAAGAGCTTCTTTCAGAGACAGTATGATGCATTTCCTCTGCTTTCACTGGAAAGGTGAGCATCCATCAAGTCTATTTTTTCTCTCCTCGTAGCAATAATGTATATATTCCAGAGAGGTCTCATAAGAAGAGGAGATTAAGAATATGAAAAATTCCAGTTCGTTTCTTGAAAAGAGACATGGTTGCCCTTTTACCAATTCATCCTTCATTTAATGTCAACTCTCAAGTGTTAGGACAAAGTCACCAATATCATATGTCACAAGGGATAAGCTTTCTGGTTTGAAATGTGGAAGCTGAAGTTCTTACACACTCCTGCTGTTTGTCTATTCACTGTTTTTTAATCCTGAAGATCTGACATTGGGGAAGATGAGAATTCAAAATGATGGTAACAATTACTTAGCAATGCAGTTTACTTTTATTTTCTCCTACTTAGTTTATTGATAGTTGCCACCCCCCAATTTGATAATATACTTTTCAACAACCATAGCACTGGTGTCGCAAATAGATTAGGAAAGCTCCCAAAGCTGGATGAAAATGTGCAAAGTATATTTGCAGCATGTATATACAATACCATGCCTCTTGAATATGCTTCTCTTAAAAGGGTGCACGCTGTAGCATGAACTGTGTGCGTATTTAATGTAGCTTCCTGGAATATGCTGTATGCTTAATATATATATTCTATAAATAAAATAAAATGTACAATAGAAATACATATTTCTGTATGCAAATAAATATATTATACACAAAATCTTAATATGCAATATGGTATATGTTGTTTCAGAGGAACAAGAGTAGATTGTACATGCCTAATTTTGAAAGAAAGTAGTATTTCATTAGAAGGAAAAGACTAAGAACAGCTGAAACCTTACCCATACTAATATTAAATAGTTTTATAATCTTTGATAGCATAGCACTGATTTTAAATACATTTTGGAGAAATAAATTAATAAATGTTTTGCTAGTATTACTCCACGGAACAGCAAATGCTTTATTCTCCTGTGTCACTGACAGGACTCTGACTAGAATCTTCCCAGCTGGTGTGGTTCCAACAGCTGTGTTGATCTGGTGTCTGATTGCCTGATGAGATTGCGACCAAACCACTCTCATACATTTCTCTTCCAAATTAACTGATTTTAGTGAAATAAAAAATAATCATACTAGGAGAAAAGAATGACCTTCAGAATGTTTTTCTTTCTGAAAAACAAGGTAAAAATTGTACAAGTACCATATTTTATAAACCACTCTTTTCAATTTGGGTCCAAATACAGCATCCCTTACATTAAATGCCCCCAAATTTCAATGTAGTATAATATTGCATGTTTCCCCATGAAATTATGAAATAGATCGTTTGTTTCTAAATATCCTACATTTTTCTCCATAACAATCCACTTCCTTTCCCTGTTGTCCAATCAACTATTCACATTCCCCAGAACATTTTCTTTGTTCCATTTGCACGAGTCTTTATGTGGTTAATATTGTCATGATATTAGTTGATACCAGGCATGCAATCCCAGGAGATATTTGTATTTTAATATAGAAAAATATAAACACTAAATATCTGAAAGATTACTGCTATGGTCTTAGATACCTCATCACACAATAGTAGAGATATTTATCAATTATATCTAGTTTTCTTCAAATTTCACGACATACTTTAATGACTATTCACTTCCTAAATTTTACCCATTATGACACAATTTACCCACATGAATGACATGTAAATAGGTGACATTCTGGAAAATCTGTTCTTTGACTTCCTAAATACACACTCACATAATCGGTCATGGGAAACTGCAAATAAAAAAGGGCACCCTTCATCTGTAGTTTTGTCATGTACCCTGCAATTTACCTGAGCTGCTAAAATACACCTTTACCGGAATTGTGTTTCTTTTGAGGTATTGTTGAAGGGTTTTAAAAAGTGAGTATGTTTTTCAAGTTATTATTAAAAAATAAAGGATGACATTAATGAATAAATTATTTGCCTATGTCCAGAAAGTATTACAATGGATTGCAGAGGTGGGTAATTTAAATTTCGATAATAACTTCACTATTTGTATAGAAAACCAAACTTCATAATTTACTCTATCCTTAAAGTAATTTTCTTCAACATTGTAAGTTTTGCTTCCCTTACTGCCTTTGTATATGAAGCAGGTGCTTACATTTGTAATGGTCTGCCTTTACTAGGGCTGTATTGTGTAATATGTCAGTAGTTCTCAAATTTTAGCCTGCAATAGAATCAGCTGGTATGCTTATTGAAACACAGATTGTTAAGACCCGCCCCTAGGTGCTCTGATTCAGTCAGTCTGAGGTGAGATCTGAAAATCTGTGTTTCTAACAAGCTCCTAGGTGATCCTGATGCAGAGCACACTTTAAGAATGACTGATTTTTATTGTCTAATGAAAAATTTCCCCAAAGTGTCATGATAATTAGCAAGACATCTACTCTTGATGGCAAAAAACTTACATTTGAAACACTATCCACAGGAAAGGAAACTTTTTCTTAGACATAAAGTGAGATGCTTACTTACAAACAGGCTCTCTATATTTTGTTTCTTGGGAAACTTTTAATGCCATGCTCTTAACACCAGAGATTTAAAATAACCATATTGATAAATTTACTTAAAGAACCAGTGACATATCAAAGTTCGAAGATAAATACAGCAGATACTTGAATTCCATCTATGATATCACTACTAAAAAGATATTTTAAACATACACTTTTATGATCACCTATATCTTATTTTTGCATAGTTGGTATATGTAAACACATTCTCTTCATGTAAGTTTTAAGAATAAATCATTTCATTATTTCATTGTTTAGAATTACCATCAAGTAAAAAATATTTCCATTTAAGAAATAATTCATCAACCTCTCCTTAACACACACACAGACTCACACACAGACATATACACAACTACATATATTCAGGCACATAACCACACATATGCACATACAAATTATACAAAAACTCATACATACATGCTTATAAACATGCACAAGTCCCACCTTGTATGTCTTGATAAGTGCCCAGAGGCATAACCTTCCTAATACTTCCAAGAGCATTTGGATTTTTGAACTCCAGAGTGCAGCGAAATGGTATTTAAAAAAAAAAAGAAAATGCTCTTTGCTCTTTGTGCTATGGTGAGTTTACCACAGAATTTTCTCACAGTTGGTAGGATCACATGAGTTTAGCCCTGTGTCTGCCACCAATGGCTTTCCAGTCATCTAAAGGCCAACTCTTCACAGCATACCAGCAATTACATGAGGTCATGGTGAGAAAACATGTCTGTATCAGAGAAATACATCATAGCATGTAGAAGACACATCTATAAATGCACATTCTCACAATGGGTACCCTCGCACACTATGCAACTATAAAGTATGGTGCTTTTAAAATCTAGCATGTCTACCTAGAGAGCTGAGGAGAGGGAAAAAGCGATAATTTCTCAACACATTCCTTCCAAAGTTCCTCTCAGACATTCTTTTTAGGCCTATAACTTTTTGTGCCTATGGAAGGTATAGAAATTTGGGCCTACCCCGTGGCTCACTTGGGAGAGTGCGGAGCTGGGAGCGCAGCGGTGCTGTTAGTGCCGAGGCCGTGGGTTCAGATCCTATATGGGGATGGCTGGTGCACTCACTGGCTGAACACGGTGCATACAACACCAAGCCAAGGGTTACGATCCCCTTACCGGTCCCCCCCCCAAAAAAAAAGTATAGAAATTCAGGAGTGATATTTACTCTGAATATGCAATAGGTAGTTGAATGGTCAAAATGCCTTCAAAAGAAGCCAGGTGCACATTTCCCATCTTGCATAAAAAGTACAATTACCAATCAGATTATGTTTGCTTTTCTTGGGATCTCACTATTTTTAATTTTAATGAAGAAGTAAAGGGGGTCATTTAAAGGCCAGACATTAAGTGGCTGAATAAAACCATTCTCTTTTTTCTCAACCCTATTAGGCAACCTAACCTACATAGAAAATATAATTTGAACAAGTTTGTACTTAAGCAGGAAATATAATTATATGGAATAAAATTAAGAATGAAACAGAAGCAATGAAAATATAACAACTCAGTGAAGGGGAAAAAATTTAATAGAACTTCTTTTTTTTTTTTTTTCATGTTGGTTGAATTTTTTTTCTTATGCCCACTTATCTCTTTTTGGTATTTTTGCCAAGGTCTTTACTAAGGTTGTTTTACAATCCAATTTTTGTAAATGTTTTTAGAGTCAAACACAAAAATTACTGTTTTCTTTGAGCTTGTTTTTAATTTTCATTGCAGTTAACATTGCTTATTCAGGGGCCGGCCCAGTGGCGCACTGCTACAGTGCACCGCTTGGGAGCTCGGCGGCGCTCCCACCGAGGGTTCGGATCCCACATACAGACCGGCCACTCACTGGCTGAGCGAGGTGTGGGTGCAACACCAAGGGTTGCGATCCCGTTGCCGGTCCCGGTCCAGTACGGTCGCGACACTGAGGGTTGCGATCCGTTGCCAGTCACGAAAAAAGACAAAAAGGAAAAAAAAAAAAAAAACATTGCTTATTCAGAAAGCAAAAATAATTTAAAAAATAAAACAAAATACAAAAGAAAACTGCTAATAATGACACCTGCTTAAATACAAAAATGAAACAACAGCAAATATACAGATGAATGAAAAAATATAACTTCAAGTGAAAAAGTCATTATGTGTACATGAGGGTTTTCATACATACTTATTTCTGGACAACACAACACTGACTTCCTCTGTGGTCTCCTTGGCTTTCTCACAGCTTGTTCACTGTGGTAGACACTGGCCATCCTTACCCTGTGAAGTCTGGACCTATCACCAGGTCCTGTGTGGACATGATCATGCTCAGTCATCACCTGGGAACTTGTCAAGATCAATTATTGGTCATAAATCAAGACATTAAACGTTGTAAAGCCCTTTGTTGAACACAGAGTATATGAGAAACTTCACACAATCACAAGCTTGGAAGGACTGAGGAAGAGTAAAACTACTGAAAGTTTCAGACGTGATTAAAAACAGAGCTAAAACGTATGTTTAGTGTATACATCCCTATTAGGAAGCAAATTTTAACAAACAATATTCTTTGGCTATATACAGATTAAATTATGTAACTGACAAGTTAGTATAAAGTAACATTAGCTATAATGATTCTTAAAAACCTGCCATGACAAAGGAACCTGGCATCCTTTTTGTTTCTATTTCTTTGCTTTTTTAAGAGTAAGAAATATAGCATTCATTAGAGAGAAATACACATGTAGTATAGAATCCTAGTCTTTTTAATAGCCTATAATAAAACAACAGTTACTTAATGTATGTGAATTCCAAATCACATAGTGAGATTTCTTAATAAAGAAAATGTTCGCACTAAAATAATTAAAAATGTATATTCCTAAAAACTAAATAATTTATATATTATAAATTACATAGGCATAACATTTTTTTTAAATTTTAACATTTGCTCGTACATATTTGTGGGGTACAGTATGTTGTTTCAATGCATGCCTATACTGCACATTGATTCACTTAGGGTAGATAGCATTGTTTTGTACCTGTTAGTCCACCACTTCCTCTTTCTCTCACCACCCCCCATCTGGCCTCTGGTAGCCATTATTCTACTCTCTATTTCAAGGAGAAAAACTTTTTTTTTTTAAGATTTCTCATACGAGCATAGGTTTGTATAGGCTCTTTAAAGACAATCCAATAAATGTGAAAAACCATATGATCATCTTAATAGATGCAGAAAAAGCATTTGTTAAAATCCAACATCCGTCATGATAAACATACTCAACAAATTAGATATAAAAGGAATGTACCTCAACACAATAGAGGGCACATATAACAAACCCATAGCTAATATCATACTGAATGGACAAAAATTGGAGGCTTTTCCTTAAAGATCTGGAAGACAACAAGGATGCTCACTTTCTACATTCTTATTCAGTACAGTACTAAAAGTTCTATCCAGTACAATAAGGCAAGAGAAAGCAATAAAGGGTATCCAAATTGTAAAGGAGAAAGCCAAACTATAC